AATCCCAAATTAGACCTAGGGCCCCTTTCAGCCAATATCGCAATTCCGGCACTGCAACTCCTCCGACGTGAGTCACGTTTTGATGTTTGGCTCCGATCAACCTGTAGAAAAAAAAACGATAATCACAGTGGTATAAAATTTGCATCAAACGGAGGCCGAGAAAGGCCTCATCGGAGGTAAAAATCGAGGAAGAGCGCAGCGGCGTGGCTGGGTTTCGGCTGGGTTTTCAGGCCATTTGGCCGATGGTTTGGCTCCGGTTTGGCCATAGACGGACTCAGCATCAAAAAACGAGCATGGAGGAGAAAATTTACCTCAATCGGCGGTCGGAAACTTCCCCGGTGCGGCGGTGGGTGGCGGCGGCCGGCTCCTTCGGCGTCTGGTTCTTCTTCTCCGGCGAGGCACTGGTGGCTAGGGTTTTCTGATCAGGTGTGGGTGGGGCTATTTATACCCTTTTTCTTTTAATCTCAGCCGTTCATCAAGATTAAATCTGGACCGTTCGATCGCGATTTAATTGGGATTAAATCTGGGCCGTCCATTGCGATGCAATCTGGGTCGTCCGTGCCTGATTGAATCTGGTCCGTCCGTGCGCGTGAATCTAGGCCATCCGTGCGCACGTTTGATCTGGGCCGTCTGTGCACGCGGGAACAGATCTGGACCGTCCGATCGCGCGCACGCGGATCGCCCACGTGGCCCGTCCCCTAGTCAGTGTTTCCTTGCCACGCGGCGCGTCCTGGTTGGCCGAGGCTGCTAACCAGGCCGCTGACATGGCTGCTGACGGGGTGCTGACGTGGCACAATTTTTTAAATTGCGTTTTGACCTCCGGTTTTCGATTTTCTTTTCAAAAACACCCCCAGAATCTAAATTTTCACCCTTTTTTTTCAAAATCAATTTCAATTAAATCCAAATAATATTTTTACCTAATTTTATCACTATTATTATTTTTATTTTCATTAAATTAAATTAAATAAAAAAATCAAACAAATAAATAAAAATAAAAATAAATAAAATAAAAAATTTTATTTTTATTTGGGTGTTACAACTTTCTCATAATTCTTATAATCACCAGGACACAAGATTGTTGTTTTAGGCGGTGGTTTTCGATGAGACCATAAGAATTGATGGTCGCTTCACTCCAATCCATGTGTTATTTTTTTAACTTGATCGACACTTAAAGTTCCCATGCTACCGAAGCATAAGAACACAACTGAAGACATTGGTTGATCATCAAGCCATGCCATGATATTGATAGACTTGTGCACCTTAATCATTCCTGAATCACGAACTTTACCATCAAGGTTAAATACGGGTCCCACAGGATATACATGTGGAAATTTTTTTTCCAACAATGACTTCATTATGTCATATTTTAATTCCACGAACGAATTTACGATAATACCCTTTGTTTCTTTATATTTTCTTGCATTATACGTGAGAAGATCCAACCATTGTTTTTCACTATTCTTTAACATCGTGGAAGGCAACACGAACTTTATAGGGAGCGGATTCAATAAACCTGAAAAAGTCAATTTAGCATTTGACTTGTTAAATTTAGAGATGCTTGCGTCTTCCTTGTTGATTAAGGCTAGAATATGATCCTCGAGTGCAAGAAAAAAAACACTTGATGTGTAAAAGATGTAGGCAAGAACGTCAAATTCATTTGCAACATCAATCATCTGTGTCCAAAATATGTCTATGATGAATCCAATAAGGTGATGCAAACGAACAGATAAATCAAGATTGACAACTGCTTTTTTAATATATGGCTTGTAATATTCAATGGGTGAAACATGATAATTGTTATAATTACTATATAACATGAGTGGTTCTAAATCTGGAAGGTTAATTAATTGAATACGATCGGGCACAAAAAAGTAGTTAATGATTGAACGGAATTGATGATAGATGGATCATTTTATGATTTCATGACTAGTATCGTGGCGAAGAGGCGGTCATCTCAATCAACGAGAAGCTTGACAATCTTTATCATCACATTATGTAACTGAAACTTGGAATTATTATGAATATTAGTTCTACTTTCATGATTTTTTTTCTAACTAATTAGTTTAGAAAAACTATGCAATATAAAAAGACTAGAGTACTTCTCTAAGTACTTTGAATCTATCAAATTAAAGGGTAATATCTATCAATCAGATTACATACCGTTAAAATGATATTATTTATAATACCTAGTTGAGCACCAGCTAGGTACAAAAAAAAATAAAAATAAAAAAAGTACAAGACACCTCAGTAGGTGAGGTGTCAGGACAAGTCAGGTCATTCGGGCACGTGTGCGTACACGTGGCGAGATCTGAAAACGTACAGTCCATATTTGTCTTACAGATCCGACGGCTCCCAAAAGCCTATATACGAGCTTAATTTTTAGCTCTTAGAAAGGAAAGAAGAACCCTAGCCGCCAGGGAAGCCTAAGCGGCATCAGGGCCGAGAGAGCGGAGTGAGGGGGGAACCTTGATCGCATGAGGAGGAGGAGTGAGCGGTAGTCGCAAAGGTAGGACGCGGCGGAGGGGAAGACGTCCCTGGAAGAATAAAGAAAGAGAGAATGGGAGATCGTCGGGCAGGGGAGAAAAGATAGGAGAGGAGAGAAGAGAGAAAAAAAAAGATATATTAAGGAAAGAATAGAAGAGAAAGAAGAAAGGAAAAAAAGAAAGATAAAGAAGAAGAAGAAAGAAAAAAAGAAGAAGAAGAAGAAGAAGAAATAAAAAAAAAAGAAGAAAACGAAAAAAAGGGAAAAGAAGAAGAGAAGAGGGAAAGGCCACAGGGAAGAAGAAGGAAGAAGTAAAAAAAAAGAAGAGAAAAAAAAAGGGAAAAAAAAGAAAATAAAAGGAAAAGAAAGAGAAAGAAAAGAAAAAAAAAGAAGAAAAAGGGAGTGCAGCGACCGAATCTGTTGTTAGTACGTCGTATGTGGCAACACACACAAATCCCAGCATCAGCGCATGGCATATTCAGTGACACATGTGTGTTGATGCATGGTGATGTCAGTGACTGGGACCGCATATCCCAAGGTAAATATCCATTTATCATTTCACGTAATATAGTTTTCAAAATTATTTATAATTTAATATATGTGTTTTCTATTATAAACGTGAAAAATTATTCAAACGATATTCGGATTTCTAAAAAAATCGTAGATCGAGGTAGAACCTAAAGCTTTTCCGATCATACGATAGGTAAGAATTATGCGTCTTCCATACGGAGAGATAAATTATATATTTATGTTAATGTGTATATATATAGTGCAATATGTGTGAATGTTTAAATATATGTAATAAAATAAATATAATTAGTATGTCTAATTTGTATTTGTTTGTATTTATGTAGTGTATATATATGTACGTTGTTACATATGTGTGTGTGTATATATATATATATATAAAATACGATAAATATTATATGAATTGACAAGAATATAATTGATAAGAACA